ACTAACCCCGAGGAGAAACTTCGAAGCTTTCTCGTTCCGGCCGCCTCGTTCGCGGAAGATGAAGTAGTATATCAGCGAGATGAGGAAGAGCGATGAGGCAATCGCGGGAAGAGGGTATAAAGAGGATTTCTGAAGTGCCAGGGCGGAGGCGAGGACAGGGTGCGTCATTGGTATGCTGGAAAGACCTGGTGGTGTATCTCCTGGAAAGCATTCCAACGGGGCTGGTGTGGGGTTATCGCTTGGCGCCGTGGTGTTCGGTGGAAAGGATGCGCAGAGGCCTGTGATAGTGTCAGTCACTCGAACGCGCAACCTAACTCTACAGTCATCTGCAGAGCGTGGATTCCACACAGAGACGTACCGAAATACCCTATCCGCACTGCAACAGGTGGCTGTCCAGCAGTCCCATTCTGCGATATCATCACCCAATACAGACTCTCGATGCCAGCACCTGTGCTTATGCAGCCAAGGAGGACGAAGAGGTAGATGATCAGGGAGATGAGGGTGAAGATGCAGACGAAGAAGGTTTTGTTCAGGATCCTGTCCTTGAGGAAGCTTGCTACAAGGAAGGGGAGCATGGTGACTGTGGTGGTGATACGTGCGTGCTAGAGTGAGCTATGAAGAGTAATGGCGGCTAGAGGGAGGTGATGATGTTCTGCGGTATTTATTGCTGGAGAGGATGTGGTGTTTCGGTGATGGGTGGCTTCAAGAGATGGGTGTGAACTTTTGGGGGTGTGATTTTGGTGTTTTGAAGGGGTAAGGGTTGTGACATGTCGGCAGTACAAGGCTCGAGTGAATGGCTCATCTACATCACTAGGAGTTTTCTTGTGTCTATGATAGGGCACAGATGCACTCATCTTAGCAGATGAAGATACTCTACCGAGTGCATGATGTCTGTCGATGTCCTTGACACCAAAGCACCCTTTCTTCTCCGCATACGATGCGCATTATCTGGAGCACTTCGTCAGAGAATATGAGAGACTGCAATGCGGCAAAAGAAACTGTCTGGTATGAGATGAATCTATGCGATAGGCAATGATATGGATGCCACGAGCGGGCTCCGTGGACAGCGCGATTGAGCGTATATCAGGACAAATCGTCGCGGTCCAGGACGAAAAACATGGTACCGGACGAACAACGTGTGTCAGCGAAAACAGGGCATATGTAGGTACTCAGCTGAATAATTGAAGGGCGTTAACCTTGAAGTTTCCAGTTTACGGTGCAATCATCGGCGTATGGCCGCTCAAACAGGCTTAGCTCGGTCCCTGTATAGTTAGCGCAGATGCGCCACCCATCTCCCAAGCCTCTCTCCGCCCTGATTTCCCCACTTTACGCACTTTACAAATGTCCGTGAGTCCGGCATGGCGCCGCAACTCACATGTTGATGCTTACACTGATGTCTTTGTGGTAGTCACGTCATGCGCCCTGCCAAGGTCTCCCTATTGGAATCGCGGCCTCCCACTGGACGGGAGATTTACGAGCGGATATTTGCAGCCGCGTAGCTTCTATCGATGTCTACGAGCAGCTTTCTGTCGCTATGCCAAGGTACACAGTCACGGATAGGCAATGCCATTTCGTGTAGACATGAATCCTTCGACCGGGTTTCGTCCACATACTGACCATATAAAGCCTATTGAGATACCTTCAAATGTCATTATCAACTCTACCAACTCTCAGCAGCTTCTTCAGTTGCATCATCGCCTAGTCACTTCCACTTTTCTTCTTCACATCAACGTCCGTCAACCAGAACTCAGCCATGGTCACCGTAGCAGTTGCCGGAGGCACAGGCGGCATCGGCCGTACAATCGTCGAAGAACTCGTTCGACGAGGCAAACATCAAGTTTTGATCCTAAGCCGAAGCGTATGAACGCAAAACCCATCTGACTTTGCACATCACTAAATGACATCCAGGCAAGCAAACTACTAGGCCTCGAATCCGTGCCAGTCCTCGAAACAAACTACGATGACGTCGCATCAATGAAAGACCTACTCCAGAAGAACAACATCGAAATCGTCATATCCGCACTCCGCCTCTTCGACAAACCAGGCGCAGACTCGCAGATGAACCTCATCCGCGCCGCAATCGACGCCGGCAACGTAAAGCGCTTCATGCCCAGCGAGTACGGAGTCAACTACTCCCAACCCGGCATTCTCGACGTGTATCCTTCCGCAAAATGGTGGCTTGACGCCGCCGACCTACTGCGCAGCTCCCATCTCGACTTCACACGCGTATTCTTGGGCTGGTACTCCGACTACTTTGCCATGCCGCATGTCAAGTCCAACATGAAACCTTTCAACTACGCTTTGGACTTCAAGAATAAGAAGGCGGTGCTGCCAGGTGATGGCAATTCGGCGGTCTCGTTCATCCACTCGACGGATTTGGCGAAGTATATTGTTGCGACGTTGGATGATGAGAAGAAATGGCCGGAGCTTAGTCCTTTTGCTTCTGATGCGATGACGTGGAAGAAGGCTGTTGAGTTGGCGGAGAAGGTTACGGGTAAGTCATCCTTACTGCCCACATCATGGCGATTGGGAATGAAGCTAACCTTTTGAATGACAGGCACGAAATGGGACATCACCTACGATACCATCGAAAAGTTGGAGAAGGGTCAGGCTACGGTGCTCCAGCAGCCAGAAGGCTCATACGAGTTTCCTCCGGAATTCATTCAACCATTGGTCGTCGAGTTCAGCATGTTGGCTGTACGTGTGAACATGGATGTCTCGAAGGATGGACTGAGAAACCATGAGTTTCCCCAGATTCACCCGATTGGTGTCGAGGAGTTGATGCAGAAGGCCTGGGGAAGCAAATGATGAGATCGGTGTGGTATTGTGCGGGCTGCAGTCGAGCTCGCAGGTAATCTTCGCCTTTTAGAGAGCCGGTTGTACATTGATAGCAATCTAAGGATCAACAACAAGTCCGACGAGGCTTACGACAACTTGTATACGCATACGTCTTGAAGATGACGCTGACGGTAACCAATGGGAGAGATTTGATTACTGCTGATTCGGGCTGTTGGCCAGGCTTGGCGTTTCCCGTTTCCCGTTTCCCCGTGACCCACTTCGTACAGCCGCCCCCGTCCGCCAGACCTCATTGTTCGATTCGTTCCAACCTTCCGGGCAAACGCATACATTCAGACCCACTTCGCATGGGTATGGCCGCGTTATACAGTATGACTAATAGCACTATATGTAGTACGAATGCCTTAGAGTTTCGTACAACGAAAAGCTACTCTAGGCGGGACTTGGATTGTCGACTGCCGCGTCATATACCGTGACGAAGCTTTGTTATGGGTGATGAAGGGTTGATGACTGTCTTGCTCGACATGATAGGATGCGATGACAAGAATCAACATGGTTAGGTAGGGGTAAGATCTCCCATGTACGAAATGCGTGTGAGACATACACTGAAATCGTACATCGTCGTTTTAGGTCTACATGTAGGAATACGAAGTTAGTGGTATATCTCAGGCAGTTCTTGTGAGATGCGTATTGTTGTATAAAGGCAGTGAGTATCAATGTAAAGTATATATCTCCATCATCCTCATTTCTCCGGTGTCGCTAGCCGGCTGTATCAAATCATTGTACCTCGAAGTCGTACACCCGATCATACCAACTCCTGTCTTCACTTAGTTTGGCGATCGAATATGGTCAACCTCGCCCTCGTTCTGACGAGCGCTGCTGCAGCGACCTCTCTCTTTAGCACCGTCTTAGCTCACCCCGGCGAGACACACGACCATGCCAAGATCAAACGCGAGATCGAAGTTCGTGGCTTGCGCGCTGCAGCAGCGAAACGTTCTTTGGCTGGATGTCAAGATACGCTCAAGCACCGAAGCTTGATGCAGCGTTCTGAAGAACGTCGCGCGAACACCCTGGATGAACTTCGTCGGAAGCGTGGGACCATTGCAAGTATGCTCTCCCCCAATGCCATAAATCTATGTTCAAGAACGATGGCTAAATCCGCATGCAGAGCCCGAGAAGTACCGTCGTGATTTGAAGCAACTCCAGGAATTCGAAAACGTCAACCATAACATGACCGGCACGATGAATCACACGCCCAACACTCTCACCAGTGCCATCTTCGCTGCAAATACCTCATGCATCCTTACCCCCGAACTCACCTTCGGGCCCTACTATGTCACGGGCGAAATGATCCGGAAGAACGTAGTCGAAGACCAAAAGGGCATCGACCTCTACCTCGAAGTGCAATACGTCGACATCACCACCTGCGAGCCCGTCCCACACCTCTACGTCGACATATGGAACTCCAACGCCACGGGCTACTACAGCGGCGTTGAAAACGGGCAAGGCGGGCTTAACACCACCTTTCTACGCGGCGTCCAGATAACGGATGCTGATGGCGTCGTCGCTTTCGAAACCTTGTTTCCAGGCCACTACACCGATCGCGCAACGCACACGCACCTCCTCGTTAAGTCTAATGTGACTGTCCGCTCAAACGGCACCACGGGCGCCGATGGCACTATCGCACATGCCGGTCAGCTTTTCTACCCTGAAGATCTCAAGGCCGAGGTTGAAGCTACGGAGCCTTATATCTTTAGTACGCAGCCGTACATCACCAACGACGACGATTTCCTGTCGGTTGTGCAGGCTGATGACGACTTTGATCCGTTTCCTCAGTACGTGTATCTGGGTGATAGCGTCGAGGATGGGTTGATGGCTTGGATTCAGATTGGGATTAACACTACGGCTGATCATAATGACGATCAGATGTTTGGTGTTGCTGCGGATTATCAGGCGGGTGGTGGTGTTGCGAATCAGAATCAGACGGGTGCGAATTTGATTGGTGGGCCAGGTGCTAATGGGACTACGTCGTCGGGTGCTGTTTCTTCTGGTGCTACCCCAGGGGCTGTTTGAAACTTCATTGTAGTGACTACTTGCATGACTGTTCTTGTCCTTTCCTTATAGAAGCCCCGCTCCAAGTACATAGATGCATTCACACTACCCATGCATCTATGTCAGTCAAAACACTCTTTACGCCTGCCCATTTACATACTTGCTTTCCCCCTGCTTTCAAAAGGCAAAATAAGCACCAAAAGACCCGCAGCAATGAACAACGCTCCACTAACATAAACCGGCGCACTCGTCTCCAAATCCGCAAACATCGCCACAATAGGCGCCATAATACCAAACACCCTATTCGCACTCGCCGTAATAGCATTTCCCGTACCGCGATCTTTGGTCGGAAAGATCTCAGGCGTATATGCATACAACACCGCATACATGATGTTGCTCATGAAGTTGTAGGCGCAGTTCCACCCTAGGAGGGCGTTGGAAGTGAGCGCCGTCGTGGAACACAGGAGAAAGACGCCAGTGAGGACTGTAGAGAGGGCTAGTGTGCCTTTGCGACCGATATGCGGTGTTTCGACGAGTACTGCGCCGAGGATGCATCCTGGTACGCCAAGCACGGCGATGATGAGACTGTTGCGGTAGGTGATGTAGGTCGAGCCGTCACCGAAGTCGGCACCGCGGGTGGCTTGGATATAAGGTAGGAAGGCGTTGTAGAGGGGGTAGCCGAGGCCGATGAATGCCCAGACGAGTGTGATGGTGCTAGTTGAGAAGGCTAGCTTCTTGGTCGCGAAAAGAGCTTTGACGTGCGAACTATCTAGCTTCTGGAGCTTGCGTTTGACAGCTGCGGAGGCAGTGCTGGTTTGTTGGACGGTACCAGGGAGGGCGAAGTTGTTACACGATTCCAGTTCTTCGATTGTGAGGCTGCATTCTTTTCCGTTGCGGCGAGCAACTTCGTGGACGATGCGAACAGCGTCTGTGTCTCGGCCTTTGCCCATGAGGAATTTGGGGGACTCGAAGATCGTGAAGAAGACGAAGCGGCCGATGAACATTAGTAGTGCTACACCGCCCATGACCTTGTAAAGGTGTTAGCGAATACTTTTGAAAGGAGGGGGTTCGGGACTGACAATCATGAAGTACCGCCATCCCATATTCTCTCCTCTTGTGCAGGTGGTATCCGTCTGCTGACATGTAAGGTTTCCAAGCAGCGGCCATGCCACAAGTGTAGCAAAGACCTGTGCGAGCGCCCAGTAGATCGACAGAATCGTCAACAGATACTGATGACTCCCAGGCAAGAACTCCAGGAAGATCGCGGAATCTACAGGCAAATTTCCACCTACACCCACAGACCACAACGCAGCAAACGTGCCAATGGCAGCGAAGTTGGGACTACTCGCTGCAATCATACCAAACACGGCAGTAATACCGATTGTGAGGTTGAAAGCCCATCGTCTTCCGAAGATATCGCAGCCGAAACCCCAGAAGACGGCGCCGAAGAGAAGCCCAATGTTTTGCGAGAGTGACAGTAGTGGTGGGCGTGTGGGGGTGAATTCGTTGGTGATGGGCGTAAAGATTAGGGATGTTACTATCGGCCAAAGATTGTCCATTGCCCAGCCGAAGCCGATTACGATGAAGAGCTGGGAGAGGTTAGTTCGTTAAATGGGGTTAGATGGAGATGTGGACTGGGTATGGGGAAAGTTCGATTGCGCAAAGTATATCCATGGTAGATAAGAGTGTTGATGGGATGTATATTTACCTGCCATTGATACCTGCCCATACCTATGTCTTGCATGGCCTTGTTCAGCATCTTCGCTTTGGCTTCGTAAACGGGGTCCAACGACCCATCTTCCAAAACGCTCACCGGCACTTCTCCATCTCTTGCAACCGTTTGGGCTGAGGGTTCCTTGTAACCGTGTGATTCATCCATCTTTACTGGCGAGTCGGACATGGTGCCTTTTTCGCCCTTTGAAGCCGGCTGCGAGCGCAAAGAATGTAAGAGCGAGGGTTAAGCTAGATCGCAGTAAACACAGACAGCCGGGTTAAGTCAAGGGAATAGGTGGCGAGGCACAACAGGCATTAGCGTCGCTTAAGAACTTAGTGAATGGAGGATCTTTAACGGAATGGTATTTGATTGAGCCAGTGGGTTGGGAAACTGCATGGTTAGTGTGACGACTTATAATGTTCCTTGTCGCGCAATCGGGCTTCCCGCTCGCGCAATACCACGCGGCGGAAGGTACCACCACCACGATGCGCGGGGTATCTCCAGGGTGAACGCCATGGTAGTACTGCGTCCATAACTCTGGTCCACACACGCGATAAGGAACTGAGGCCGTTGCGACTGTACTGTGGTAGGCGATAAGCGATGTCAAGATGGTTACGATCTGCAGTGCATGCGAGGTGGTGTGGGAAATGGCGGGCTAGGTAGGTCCTGACGGGCGTTACTCCGCGCTAGTATGACGTGCCGTCACACTTGAGCTGACCATGCGAGATCCACGTCAACCATGTTAGGGATCTTGAAGGTCGGTAGTCATTATTTGTTTGTACCAAGAATCTGCACGTCTATGTTTGGTGTACATAATCTCGACGTAAACACCAGCAATGCATAATGCAGGCCAGCGCAGTAGCATGACCACGTACCATGGTCTACTTCCACAACTTGCTCAAACTGGTCGCCTTGTCGTCGTGCTTATTCAGCACCTTCGCGGTCGCCAGATCGAAGTCCTCCTGTGTGACGTGCACTCTCCTCTCCCTGAGGGCGTACATACCAGCCTCAGTGCACACACCCTTCAGCTCAGCACCTGAACATCCGTTCATCTTCTCTGCGACCTTTGTCAGGTTGATACCACGCGTCAAGTTCATGCTCCTAGAGTGAATGCGCAGAATGTCGGCACGCGCCTCGACGGTTGGCGGTGGGAACTCGATCTTTCGGTCGATACGTCCGGGTCGCAGGAGGGCGGGATCTAGAATGTCAAGTCGGTTGGTCGCCATGATGATCTTGATGTTCTTGGTTGGCTCGAAACCGTCCAGCTGGTTCAGCAACTCCAACATGGTTCGCTGGACCTCGGAATCACCACCTGAGCTGCCCTCTACTCGACTTGATCCAATGCTGTCAATCTCGTCCATGAAGATAATGCTGGGTGCGTGTTCTCGTGCCATGACGAAGAGTTCGCGAACCATGCGACTACCCTCACCAATGTACTTCTGTACCAGCTCGCTACCCGACACACGAATGAACTTGCAGTCGGCGTGATGTGCGACCGCACGCGCAAGCAGTGTCTTTCCTGTTCCAGGAGGACCGTATAGCAGAACACCCTTGGGCTGAGCGATACCGAGCGATTCGAAGAGTTCGGGATGTTGCAGACCCAGCTCAATGACTTCCTTGATCTCCTTGATCTGCTGGTCCAGACCACCAATCATGTCGTATGTGCTATCGGGCACCTTCTCGACCATCATGAGCGAGACGAGGGGATCGACGGACGAGGGAAGGAGCTTCTCGAGCTTGTAGGAGTCACTGAGGAGAGTGACGCGCTTTCCGGCGGTGAGTTTGCTGATATCTACGCTGTCCGCGACATCGACGACTGCCTTGATTAGTCTTGGTTCGGCCTACTCGTGAGGTCATACATACCATATTTGCCTTCAGGGTGAACCTTTACAAGCACCTTCTTGGTACCCATGACCTTTACTACCTCTCCGACGTAGGATCCCGGTTGCTGGAGAAGGCCGAGCTCTTCTCGCAATAACCGTACTCTTGAGTTGTAGTCATTGCGCTGGGCTTCAAGTCGTCTTAGCTTGGCCTGTCCCTGTATGATCTCGAGCTTCATCGTCTCGATCTTGTTGTGGAAGAAGGTATCGAGCGCCATGGCTGTGGCGGGCGCCGGCGGCGATGTTTAGGCTAGGGTGTTGTTTGAGGCGGGGTTGAATGCAAGGAACTCGTGTAGTGAGCGACAGCGAAGACGGTGGGGTAAAGGTTGTGGGTGAGATAGCGATGGCGACTGTTGCACCTTGGTGTTGACGCCCGTGACGGCGTGGAAGCTTCCGAAGCTGGCCATTGTCGGATTAAGGTTACGCCGGGCCACTAGCGCAAACGCGTTGGAGGAAGGAGCGCCTGAGCCCGAACACTGCAACGCGTGACTCTCTTTCACGTAACTACGAGTTATGTACTTTTATCAGTCACATTCCACTATCCCAATCTCGCCTTATATAGATGAGGCATCATTTAATTACCATCACGCTATTCTCACACTATACGAGACAAAGATAGGGCCGCCATATCCAGCCCCGAACCCTAACCGCAATCTCTCACCGCGCGATTACGGGCGCGCTTACCTGCCTTAGTCGCGCGAGCTCGAGAAGTATCGACAACGACTTGGTCGTCGTGCCATAGTTGATCTGCACACTCTGCTCCTCGGCCACGTTGTCCTGGATTCTCAGACTGCTCAAATGCTTGTATATATCTGTATCCAGCGGAGCATTGACCTGAACAGCGTAACCACGAGATGCATTGTTGATTACGATGCGTTCGGTCTTGACGGGAACTTCTCGTGGCGATGCTTCTGAGTCATCAACGAGCGTCTCGTCTTCGCTATCTTCGCCATCACCATGACCCGCCTTGTCGAGAGCCTTGAGATCAGCCAGAGTCAATGGGACAAAGCCGTCATCTAATATCGTTAGTCTGGATACATCATCGTCAGCCGAAAACCCACTTGATGGACGTCGGCCCTTGAGCAGTTGTGCAATTTTCAGGCCCTTGCAATCCTGGACAAGCTCCCGGAAGGACTCGTCGATCCGCTGTATAGCTTCCGCATTTGCTACAGCTTGTTTCCCCTACATGCGTCACATAATCAGTCAATGTCTCACACGATTCGAGGCTCGAAGTTCTTACCATGGTGCGGACTACTCCTACGTGGGCGACTTGAATGGACAGCACGAGCACAGCCTTCACTTGGACAAGCTCGCCCATGATGGCGCTCAGCTTCTTCTCGTCTGCTGAGCCGTCCACCAGCTGGCGCGCAAACTGGATCATCTTACTTGTGGTTGACGGAACCAAAGTCTTGATCAAGGCAGCCAGCCTCTCCGACACGTCTTGTAGTCGAACCAGCTCCGCAGCAACAGTGGGTGTCTTCAGGTCCTGCTCATCGTAGATCATACCCATGATTGCCTTGATACTTTTGAGTTCGCTATAGTGTCGAGCCAGGACCTCAGGAAGACCTTTCTGACGAGCGTTCGCATCGCGGAGGCGTTTGAAGATTCGGAAGACTTGCTCTACGAGTTGAGTAGTAGCTTGGATTGCGGATACAACAGCCACCGCTTCAGCCTGTTACGACAATTAGCCTTGCCACCCATACAAACGAAGTGGACTTACCATAGTGTTCAAGGTATCGGTTGAAATTCCTTTGGAGAGATAAGAGCACAAGTACTAGGAGATTGCGCAGACAGCTCGAAGGGTGCGAGACAGCACTTAATGGCCAGCTGAACTTACCCAGAGCGTTATTGGGGCGCAGTGTCGATTGCGAGTTGACCGTAAGTACGGTTGGTCCGGTGACAGTTCGCAGCGTGCATGCAAGATAGCGACCAGTGATTCGCCCCCGCGAAGCGATCTGCAGCCATAAATGCACCCCAAAAGAACTCCAAGTTCGCACCGCCATTGGCGTCCAATGAGGATGGACATCTCTCTGAGAGAAGCGGTTGAAAGCTGACATTACTTGTGCATGATGCCACGTCGTCCTTGGACCCCGGACGGGAAGACGGTGGAGGTTGCGCCTAACTCCAATTGCCGCTTCTTGTCTCTTCGCTTGTCGGTTTAGCCAGACCTGACCGAGCCAGCGCCGAAGAGGAGATCGAACTGGCGATGCTTAACAACATAGAAGCGATATATGGCAAAGTCGTCTTTCTCTTCTTCCGGGTAGCAGGCGAGATTGACATAATCATTCGTGGGCGGAAGGTGGATCTGGTCTGAGCCAGCTTCTACCGTGAACGAAGAACTCCTGTATACTACGAGGCTCAGCCGACGCACGATCCTCTCCGCGATGTAATTATGTGGGAAATCGGGTCGAAACATGGCGAAGACTGGGTGCCGACTGTCATTCTTGCTAGGCTTGAGGATCAAGTTTTGTCCTTGGTGGACAGACCGATCCGAAGCGCGTATCTAGTCGTCGTCAGCCGCCACCTTTCAAATGGTCACGCTGGGTGCTCTTACTGGGAGTTGTGCAGTGAACGTTGCGGACACCTTCGACGGAGCTGAACTCTTCAACACCTTGCGTACGTCCGTCATCGCTATGCATCTACTCGGTAATGCTGATTGGCTCACAGGGTGAACGATCTTCGGATCCCAGCCATACTGATAATTTACAACTAAAGTATTGCTTGGAATTGTCAGGAGCGTGCTCCGTCCATTGTAGCGGAGTTCGACTTACATGCTGAAATTGTAGACGTTGTCTGCCACGGTGCCATTGATTTGAAGAGCATTACCGCTGGCGATATTCCGGCTGACAGACGCTACTCCCGTCATGACTTGAACTTCCTTCGACGTACGATTAGCAGTAGACATTTGCGACATGTTCGACGGCGCCCACAATATTCGCTGGAGAACATCGGCTTTGAGGAAACTACCTATGGGGTTGACCACACTCGGATGCCTCAGACATACGATGAAGGAAGGCTGTGGAGCTGTGATTGGGACAAGCCTCTGGCCAGCCGAGCGGGGTACGAAAAAGCCTTGACCGGTGTGCTGCAGGCTGCATACGGCTGCCTCAAGGTTGCTGGATGATGTTCTCACAGCCCTGTATCGACGTGCAGTTCCGGTCAACTCGCAACGGCAAAGCGTATTTTCAAGCGAATCATGACCCTGGATACCGATGAAACGATAAGCGCTTCTTGGTTCCTGTGCGAATCTTCGGCCTGCGCGCCCATCATCTTCTGCCTTGCCGCGAGACTCGTGCTACACGCAGTGCGCTTCGCAGGATCATCAATTCCTTACCTCCTCACGCCACGGCAACCATGAGCAACAATGGACGATTGCACCTTAGCTAGCGCTGCTTCCCGCAGCGTCCCAAACTCCGTCCGTGCGACATCAGTAAGCCCCACCTAGATGCAGCCCGATCGCCTCGACTGCACATCATGGATCGCTATCGCATACGTGAATGTGTCGCACAGCTGGTCGACCATAGCCCAGAGCAGGCCGTAGAGATCCTTACTAGGTGCTGTGAAGAACGGGAAAGAACCCTCCAGGAAGTGTTCTCGTCCCTAATACAATCAAGACCAAAGCACAACGAGTCTTCCTTACCTGTCGGGAACAACATCAATGTCACATTCCCACCACGTGTTCCGCCCTCTTCACATGGATCGCAACACACTGGAACTCCGCCTCCCCGCCAGGGGCCGCCACGCCGCTTTCCCTCGACATCATATCCGATAAGCCCTCCTGCTACAGCATCATCAGTAACATCTCACTCTACCAGGGACGAAAACAGCTCGGGAGAGTACATCCTGCTTCCTACTCTCGTCGGCACCAAGGTCGTAGACCACAAGGTCCGAATGAGACCGGCCTTGATCAAGCACAGCGTGATACGCGGTGACGTTGTTGGCAGACGACAACTCGAAGACTCTTTCAATATAAGTCAGGCCGGTTTAACCCACGTGGAAGTGCCACATCGCGTAACCGGAGAACTTCGACTGGTACCAGTCTCATGCGCCATTGAGCTTACATGGCGCCAACCTCATTCCAATTCCACACACGAAACTTTGTTTTACGTGGTACCAAAAGAAACGCTTGACATAGACATCCTTCTTGGCTACGACGATTCGGGTCAAGAGATTGCAGGTGTGTATACAGTGTAGCGATAAGTGGATTATGCGCTTTGGCTGACTAGATGCGCGCTTCTGCCAGAATACACACCTACTATTGTCCCTCAGTCCCCAGCTCGGCAACCTTCAACTTTCCAGAATTACAAGCAGGAACTCCGCCCCCTTGCCCCGACACCACCTCCAGCATCTTTTCATCGTTCGGCAGTAACCTATGACGGCGCAAGTTCCATCCACCGTCATGACGACCGATACGACCCACATCAGGTGGGAGAGCCACCTATCTCCCGGCAGCAGTCTTACGCAAGAAATATGGAGGGCCAACAGTCTTCACCAGCGCCTACGGTCATGGATACGCATATCGAACATCCACATCCGCTTCGACCTAATTTTGGCCCTGGCGCGCCGGCTCGTGATGCTGATCCTAAAAAGGCTACTGATAGGATCAGATTGAGTGTTATATGGGACGCGACGACTCTGAATGTATGGCTAGATCTCAAAGAGTACGGCGAAGACTTCTACCAAGCCTTCCAGCAACAGGCTGCAAAACAGCGCAAGGACATACTCGATCGAACCACTATGAGAATTCAACTAAAGAAAGACAAAACCCTACCATATGAGGAAGCCTATCCGCTCTCTCTTGATGAGGACGAGTTGGAAGCAGATTGGGAAACGACCTGCGAATGGTTGAACGCGAACAAGAGAGACAAGATGCCGCATATCTATGGGGTAGTTGAGACAGATGGAGGGTGAAGGATAAGTCTTTACCCGGCTTCTCAATCTGTAAAGCCATACGCATTATCACACCGACATCGAGCGCTGCTTGGACAGACGAGCGCTTCCGAGGAAGTTGTCGAGGTGCTACCGCTCCCGATGTATGCGACGGGGCAGTGTGCGTCCACATGCAACACGGTTATGAGTGTTAAGGTCAGTGTAGCCTGCAAATTTAAGAAGAGATCAGTAAGAATTAACGAGGAACAGTGGGAGTAAATGAGGCTCACGGCACGAAAAGAGGTTGCGATTGACATCGCCCAGAACTACACAAATTGCCTACTTACGCAAACCTCTCAAACCCGTCCAGAGAACTATCTATATATTCGGGCACATCAAGTACAGCCAGTGATTTCGGAGGAGGCGAGAAGCGCCTCGACCATGAGGAAGCTGTCAGAAGCACCCTTAGAACACCACCAGATGTTTCTTCATCTGGCTTGTTGAACGATTTGCCCAGCTTCCTTATGCTCTTAACGAAGTCATCCATTTCGTCCTCCCACTTTGAATCATAATACTCGATACCGTCGATCAGGATAAACATGGCGCTATAGTCCTTCCGCAGATCTCGTAGAAGATGCGCGAGCGCGTCCGTGTACGTCTCGAGGTCAAGCTCTTTCATCTGCGCCTTTTCGTCGTGTCCAAGAAATGACAGTAAAGGCCGCCCTCTCTCGCCAGTATGCCCATCTTTATCGCACATCGCGAGCAGTTGGACGAATAATGCTCTTGCCATGATCGCTGGTCCGGAGCTTACGGTGCTTCGTCCACAGAAGAAGGGAAGGACCAGCGTGCGCGGCGCCTGTTCCAGCTTCTCGTAAAGGAGTGATATGAGGAAGCTCAGCGGCGATGTTGGCTCGAATGCGCCGTGGCCCTGGACGCACAGTATCTGAGATTTGTCTGGCCCTCCCAACCAGTCTCGGAACTCGGTGGTGTTGCCCACCCAACCGGCGCGGTTTTGGAATTTGGTTGAGCTGTTCAATCCATGCTTGCGCACCATAGGGACTTCTGATACATGTGTATGCTTGGCCGGCTTTAGTCGCAATTCTTCCATAAATTGCTGCGGGGTGGTAGCTGCTTTGGCAACTTGCTCTTCAAGCTCCATTATCCTTTGTTCTAAGCGCGAGTCAGCATGTGGCCTGCAGTAGAAGACTTCTGACTTACGCTGACTTGCGGCGTTCAGTTCTTGCTGTCTCAAGACTTCAGCATAGCGCAATTTCTCGTCATGCCCTTTCAAAAGTCAGTGTCAAGAAACAGGGACTCAAAGCTTAGACCGAGGGCTTACATTTGGCATTTTTCACCACGTCGTCTAAAGTTTCCATAAGTGCATTCATCCCTTCCCCATATGTCTTCATTGTGTCTTTGTACTCCGCCCGAAACTCAGTCAGACTTCCATCAATGCCGTGCATTGTTGAATTAGTTTCAAAGTTTTGGGCATTGGTCTGGAGTACTGTAGAGAGTGTAGCGCGTTGAACCCAGGCCGAATATAATTGAGTCTCCTCCAGGAAGCGAGTTTTGGACTGGCGAATACGTTTGAGGCATTCATCGATCGCCTTTGAGTAGTTACTGTTCTTCGAGATACTGTCCCTGGTGTGTTCTATAACGTCAGTACTGAGTTTAGACGCAGTCGTCAATTGCGTGGTCTACTCACTCCAGGAAGACTGTGTATACCATCTAATAATTTCCTCCAGGGCCAGAAGGAGATTGATATAGATGTCGTTCACACACAACTGTATGGTGTTACGTCCGGGATAGAGTGTCTGGTATTGTTCGCACTGATTGACAATTTCGGGCACTTCCTTCAACAGTTCCGCCATCTTCTCGCGGATTTCGGCATGTTGCGTCATGGCCTGTCGTGGTGTTAGCTCCTGACTTGTGGTGTACCTAAGTAATTGGCTGGAAGTCACGAACCGTCAAAATCAATGTTAGCCCTCCACAAAGGGTTTTATATTCCCCATCAGGCAGCAGGCCGACAAAAGACTGTATAGACGTCGCGTTATCTCCAACGCGTCGGAATGCGCGGCGTATGTGTCCCCATGTCGTATCATCCTGATGGGAGTTCTTTACCACCAGGTCTATGTGCTCAGTGATCTCTTCCCAGTCGTGATAGGAATTCAAGTCAAAATTCGCTATCGCCTCGTTTTTGGATTTCTTCTTCGATTTCAGAGCTGCGAGGGCGTGGGCGAAGCTCTCCTTCGTTGCAACTACTCTCAGTTTGCTCTCCCGTAATGCTTCTTCTTCGTGGTCGAGCACCGCCCCACCAAAAGCGAACGGAGCAGCTACGAACTTTTGAGAGCTCGGATCGAAATTGCATGGCAGCTCGCCTTCGGCATTGCGGAATCCTGCATCTCGATTTTCGATGAAGTCGACTGATATGGGCTGCATGGAAGGCGCGGGGAACCCGCCGTCGGCCCGTTGGTGGGGCGGCATGGTGCCTGCGCAGAATTGGCTGCGTAGAATCGCACTACTTATGGTCGCCGGCAGCGCAAACGAACCGCCTATACTTCATGCCATGAACTTGGGCGCGTACTTCAACGCCCCCGAAGTGGGCGCCGGCAGATACCTGAGTTTTTCGACGTGGCTGAAGGCCCCAAGGCTGACATGCGCACTTTGCCAATGAGGTCCGCGGGTACTACACCCACAATCTGGCGGTTCGCATCTGGCGTCCAATTCCGGCGACTGCATTCAGCTGCCAATATCGACGCGGGATCCTTTTGGGGGCCATGTAGCTGCCTGCGTTTTCGTTACTGCAAGCTACCCACAGGTGCCGCCACCGCCCTTGTTCCACGCATCCGATCATGGAACAGCTCGTAGGTAAAACAAGATTGCTTACCCGCCAGCATGCTGGAGCACGGCATTCTGACATGGCGTTTAGATAGGCTTATTACCATGCCACTCAGACGCAGTCTCATTCCGCGTCTTCTCCAATCACACCAAATCGCCCCCAATGGCCGAGGATTAAGGGCTTGCCGACGCATGCTCTATAGACGTCACTCTCACGTCTTCTAGACCTTTTACAACTGTAGCTGGAAACGAACGATTGGTGCAACAATCAGAGGTGGTCGGGGATTGAACTAAAAAGGGAGGTATCACTCGCTTCACCGGTTATTAGACTGAGCTTTGCGATGTTAATGCACGCAGCGACTGCAAGGCGTCATCTGGACTTCGGGTTCTGCTCTCTCTGTACGATGGTGCAGGATAAGGCATTACCAGATAAGCCATCTTACTAACTGGTCCGAACATGAGTTAACCCCACATTGGTGAACACCTCTCACTCGTGCCCTCTACACGCTGTCTGATTCATCGTCGACGTTTTGTATGCGGCGCTTGGACAAAGTTCGCTCAACAACTCAGGTCAGATTCATGCGCCACAAGGTAGGTCTTATTTCGGCGCATCTACTCGAAGTATCGTCATAACATAAACATCAAGAATAACAGAGATTTTCTAACATTCGATCAATCCAGATCGTTTCGTATCATTGATAGATTTGGAAGAGAGGTCGACGCTGTAATGACTGGCTCTGACGACTCAGGAGTGGTACTCTCCGCGAGTGATGAACAAAATGAACCGAGTACGTCGCACATCTCCTTCTGCTTTGTCAGTTGCTGAATACACGTCAGGTGAGATTAGCGAGTCCGAAAAGGTCCCTACGATGACTTCAGACGATGTAGTCGAGTCTCGCAGCGATGCGACACCTACTAAGCTCGACGAGAGCTCAGCAGCACCGGCGCCAGAGATGAAGGACGACAAGTCGCAATCGGAGGATGCCAGCGTTGCAGAAGCATCCCCTGACGACAAAGGCAAGGCTTCCATCAAATCTGAACATAACGACAACGATGTTTCAGACGCCGACAAAGAAGACCTCAGTGACGGTACGGATGTCGATGAGTATCTGGAAAGATACAGATCAAAGTACGACAACATGACTGCGCGTATCAAATTAGCACCGAAACGCGTAAAGCAGACTCACCAGTATACGTCAATCTTGGAAGAAAGACTTTCACTCCTGGAGGATAGAGCCATGGCTTTTGACAAGAAACTGCGCAGAATAGAAGACGGTAAAGACGAGCTTCCACCACCGCCTGATGAGGATGAAATTTATCTGAAGCCTGAGCTCCACTTTCTACTTTCGAAAGGGCTGAAGCCCGTACCTGGCGCACCAAAAGTAAACGAGACTCACGAAATCGACGTTTTCGTTGGGGAACCAGAAGTCCAGAAGGGTGAGAGGTTTCGACGACGAAAGACGCAGTCCACCGCCTTGGAAGACGATGGTGCTGATGAACAGGAAGTCGCATTTGATCCAGCCTCGGACCGCACACCTCAATCCATCGACGATAAAAGGCTTAAGGATGAAATCGGAAAGGCCAAGAACAAGCAATTTCCAAACCGAGTTCGTTTCAACGCCGAAGGGGTGGTGTATCTGTTCCGGAAGTACCTTGGCGGCAACAATGGCTCATTAGACGATATCGTGCTACGGCCTTTCAAGCCTCTACTTCAGAACAAGGAAGAGATACTGAATGTCATGTTTGAAGTGATTTCAGTGCTGACTAGAATCGTCAATCAACGCGGAAGGAAGGGTGCAGAATTGGCCGCAGATCCCAAGAGTTCCGAAGAAGCCAAAGATGTAGACGCTGGAGCTGAGACACAATGGCCTAATGTCATTCCCGCCTTGATAGACAAACCTGGGCCCATTGTGTTACAGGAGCTCAGGAATGCCCCTGATGCCATCACAACAGAAGATTGGGACATTGTTCTCAAAGAGCTCGATCTTTTCGACGAGCAAAACGGGTGCTCTGGGGAGAACATGAAAGGCTGGCCAAACCTGGCAGAGGTTGAAAGATCCTTTGGATGCTTCAAGAGCCTGCTGGATGATTACCTGATACCTGGCCACCTGGAATATCGAGAGCGTAAGGCCAAGAGAGTGCGGTTCTGTGATCTATGGCATGTGTTTCAAACTGGAGACCTCGTGGTTACCAAACGCTTAGCGAGCTTGGACGAGACCGAAACCCAGGATCGGCTAGGTATGAGGGTTCTCATGACAGCTGGTGGCCGAAGGGTAATCATGTCCAAACTCCCCGCCCCGGTCTTACCATCTTCTGTCAATCTATCAACCCCCAAGGACAGGATTGAACCCATAAATGGTGTCAACCCATTCTGCATCCATGCGTATTATCTGGACTTCAACGGCTCCAGAATGGTTCCTGTACGACGACGGATTGTGATTGCTCCATACAATGGCGAACGAAACATCTCGGATCTAGAGGTTGTTCCCATCGAATATGCGACTTCTGCATTAGATTCGCTCGAAAAACGAGGACAAAAGTTCGTCAAGGCTGTTACAGCCACCACGGCGCCTTATGTGGATTGCAAGGGTCTTGAGCTTCGCACTCGTGAGGAGCTCAACGACAGAGTCATCGTTGATATGAAGAGTTATTTTGGTACGAACCCTGGCGAGATTCCATCGTACCAGGAACCAGAAGAGCTTGACATATCCGAGACTAGCGATTGCCCGCATGGAACGGGCTGCAATTACGCGTGCCTTTCCTGCTACCACCGAACTACGATTGTGCATGATCAAATGACAGATCTTGCAGCCTATCAGGAATACATTGATGAGAAGCCCGTGTTCAATCCGCTGTCAGAGACGCCAAAAGCTGGTCTCATAGAGCCTTCGGATTTCAGCATTTGCCATTACCGTGTCTTTGCCTACAAGCTACGTTCGCGTGAGTGGGGTAGGTCTAGAACTCCATCAATGTGTCAAATTCGCGCTGATACTTAGCAGTGCATGTGAACGTCAAGCATCTTGAGCCACCGCAAGAGATCGACAGAAACAGAGGGTTCGAGAAGCTAGTCCTGTCGGAGGACCACAAACACATTCTCGAGTCTCAGGTCCGAGAGCACTTCCGTAAGAAAGGTTCACAAGCCGTTGGGGGAAGTTCGGAGAATGACATGGACTTGGTTCGAGGCAAAGGACAAGGCCTCATCATCCTTCTTCACGGTAAGCACCCTCTCGTAAATGTTGAAATATGTGACTTACCATACTTAGGGGCTCCCGGAGTTGGCAAGACTGCCACTGCCGAATGCATTGCTGATCTGATGGAGAAGCCGCTCTATCCTATCACATGCGGCGACCTCGGAAGCTCGGCAGAGGACGTCGAGAAGAATTTGAAGAAGCACTTCACGCTGGCTAGCCGCTGGGATTGCGTGATGCTGCTAGACGAAGCCGATGTCTTCCTCGCCAAAAGGAAACTTGAAGATCTCCAGCGCAACAGTATTGTATCGGTATTCCTCCGTATGCTGGAGTACTACAAGGGTCTACTCTTCCTGACTACCAATCGCGTCGGTACTTTTGATGAGGCTTTTACATCCCGAGTGCATATCTCCCTGTTTTGTAAGTGATAGCAGCCTGTTTCAACAATCGCACTAACATATCCTAGACCCCAACTTCGACAAAGAGACCACGCTTAAAGTGTGGAAGACTTTCATCGACCAAACCAAGTTTGTGCTCGAAAGTAGCGGTCGTACCAATGTGACCGTGGATGCGGAAGGTATCGAGAAGTTTGCCAAGAAGCACTGGAAAGAAAACAAGCAGGCTCGCTGGAATGGGCGACAAATCCGCAACGCTTTCCACACTGCAGTCGCTATGGCCGAGTTCGGTGCACGAAGTCGAAATGCTAGCGAAGACTATGACGACGGCAAAGACGTGAAGATAAGCGTTGGTAGAACGGAGTTCGAAAAGATTGCCAATACCGCTAAAGAGTTTGGTGTTTACATGACCGAGACAATGGGGGATCCTGACTTCGTAGCATCGAGAGATGGATTGAGGAAACAGCAGAGGGAGCCGAAAGAGAAGACGAAAAAGAAGAAAAAGAAGAAACAGTCCAAGTCAAAGAAGCAAAGCGAATCGAGCTCTTCAGAGAGCGAGAGTGAGGACGAGGAAGAGTCTGACAGTGATTAAGAGGCTGGAAAGGAGGTACGCAAGTGGACACTCTTTTATAGTGCGGTTTCCTTAATAAATCGGTGGTCTTTGCAACATCTCTTATCTCCAATGAGCCAACTGCATGTTGCCCAGCGTATGGCATAGCGCGGCAGTGTCCGTCAAAGGAAGACGGCGTGCAGCCTTTAAGCTTCGGGGCTCGCGTGCCTGGTCTGAGCGCCTCACGTCATCCCTCTCACTTGCCGAGGCATCGCGTCGCTCGCGCACCTCAACTTCATTAATCTCTTTGCACAACCACGCACCACACCACAGACCCAGTTTGAACGATGTTCAGAATGCATTAGATTATGCCATTATCCCGACGCTATATACGCCTACGCAGAGCTAGTAGCTGAGGCGACAGGCAGGCTAACCGGCATGGGAGTGCCGGAAGCCGAAGCTGTTGACGATGAGCCGCCGCCACTGCCACCACCACCGTTCTTCTTCTGGACGACCGCGGATACGACTTGACCAGCGGTGTTGGTCACGATGTCGACGAGCGCGTTGAGAGGCTCGTAGTTGAAGGTCTTCTGTGTCATTCCCTGGCCAACTTGCTTTGCGCTTCCAGCGACTTCGGTCATGTTGAGCTGTGCATTGGGTTAGTGGTTGTGAACCACTTTGTTATAAGGGTATGCTTACCTTGAAGTTTCCGACAATCTGCTGAAGGGCGTCTCCGCCGCTTCCCACGACCTCTTGGACGATGTTGCCGAGGTTGTCGACTAAGAAGTTGAGCGTCTTTCCGTTTTGCGTGATCGATCCGAGCTATATGCTGTTAGTTGTTTTCTGACATCGAGCCATTCGGATACTTACAAGGCCATCAACTGCACCGATCACTTCCCCGACCAAGTTGGTGACGTTTCCGATCAAGCCGATCAAGAGAGGGTTCAGGTCCAAAGAGTCGAAGACGCGCTCAACGATAGAGACCAGGTTGCCCAATCGTACAATTAACTCGAGTTCAACATCTACATCAGCAATAGTGATGTTGACCTTCTCCACGGCGACCTGGACACCAGCATTGATCTGAACGAGACCGGCGACCTTGGCGTTGAGGTTAAGATCTGCCTGAAGCTTCTCGACACCTAGTTCAATCCTTCCAACGTGCAGTTCAGGGACGCGGAGAAGCACATCTGGGGGCGAAGATCCAGTTGGCGCAACCTCTGGCGGTCTCGTAGTAGTTCCGTTGCCTTGCGGTGGGGTGCTGCTTGTAGGTGCCGGGGTTGAAGGAACGCCAGATGACGACTGCGCAGAAATGAGTGTAGCGAAAGTAAGAAAAATGCTGATGAGCAGTAGGCGGATAGAGAACGACATGTTGGCGTGAGCGGCGACGACAGCAACAACAACGGCAATAGTAACGAGCGAGACAGCCGTACAAGTATCAGCAAACCACGACCCACGTACCGGTTATAGCGAAGGAATCCCGTTGCAAATCAGCGGGCACGGCAATCATGCACATGGAGTATTGCAAGGATTCCCATAATGGTAATCTCGGGTAAAGCCCCCTATGCAGCCGCGCAGGGGTTCCTACAAGGCTGGATCGCACCATCTGGAGCAGTGCTAAGGCATGAACATGTAGAAATCCTGATTCCGCATACGAACTGCCGGTTTTCTGGATTTTCTATCGAATCGCAGGTGTGGGAATGGATCTCCTTAATTTCCGTTTTTCTTGCTAGCGTAGGTGGATGACGGGTAATGGAAGATGGTGCTATGCACATGATCCTTGCAGGCAACTCACTACTACTCCACCCGATGGTAGTGTTAACCGTTGTGCCCGCCCGTCTTTCTTGTCGATTGACGACATCCATTGAGTTGTTGCTTCCTGTCCCTCGCTCTTTGTTTAGCAGCACGTCGACTCCCGACCAGTCTCTCTTTCAGCACCAGTCAAGATGTTGTCGATACTACCTACCATCACACTCCTTTCGTTGCCGTTCCTCGCTGTCTGCCAATCTGCTTCCGATGGCTACAGTGGCTACAAGCTCGATGTGCGAGACGACGGTGACCCATCCGCTGTTCTCTACGAAACAGAAAACACATCCTCATCCAACATCTCCGCCTTGAGCCCCGTCCCAGACGTTCTCCTCAACGCCTCCGTTCACGTCGGCGAGATCTTCATCGGTGTCGACAACCTGACCGCAAAGATCAACCTCGACGCCCAGGTCCTCCAGTTGCTGCAGTTCAACGCCGGAGTCGACCTATCCATCGACAAAGTCACCCTCCTAATTCAAAACGTCACAGCAAAAGTCTACCTCGAAGCCCGTCTGGGTAATCTCGTCAACATGGTCAGCGACGTCCTCGACAGCATCGATCTGAACCCCGTGATCGCCGAGCTAGGAAACGGTCTTGGCTCCATCATCAACGACACTGCTGGTCTCGTTGGCGACGTTGCCGGTGGCCTTACTGGAGGCGGTAATGATACCTCTGCTCAAGCCAAAGCCAAACGCGACCTCGACTTCCACCAATGGGACCTCCGCAACAACATCCTCTACTCCATCAACAACTTCGAAGGCAACACCAACAAACGCCGTGTCCTCGCTCAAAATGGCGATATCGTAGAGCAAGTCCTCGATAACTCTGGTACGGTCTCTGCAACCAATGTTGTGGGTGATTACCTCAAGAACATGCGGTTCAACGGGTTCAACGAGAGCGTGACGTACAAGGGCGAGGAGGTCTGGGAAGAAGAATATGTGTACGAGCCTTTTATGGGTCTCTACTCTATTTCTGGTGTGTTCAAGAGCAAGAGTAATGGCGAGGTCGTTGGCACGCAACTTCTGGCTGAGGCTAGAGGGGGCGGAAGCGCGAGTATTGGGAATGAGAAGGCGTAGGTCTTTTGATACCCACCTGCACAATTACTGAGAGTATTTTGCGAATGGAATGTAATGTCTGAACTCTTGTGCTGTTGTACTCTCCATGCATGCCCGTCTGATGACTCTCCCACATCCATCCATCCCGATCACGTCTTTGCTTTTCCTAAGCATGCACGCCTTTCTCATCTCGCTCTGCATACATAAACCAAAACGAATTCAACTGCGTACTAGCACCAGCCACCGCCAAGCATTTGTTCACGCAACGGTTAAATTCCCATGAACAATCGCGTGGTCCGTTTCATGTAGACGTCCGTGCGAGCACACGATGCTCAGGAACCGAGATTTGACATGTACCATGCAGTCGGATATGCCATGAATAGGCCTGTGGGCCTAACGGTCGAGATCTGGGATCTGGGCTTTTGGATCGACGATGATGTCACGGGGGACAGGAGTCACGGATTAATGCGATCTTATTCCGTGAGATATGGCGGGGTGCAAGCATGGAGGATAATGATTGCGATGCAGTGTTTAGTGCAGTGTGAACGGTTTGCTTCGGCCAAATCGATGGATGACGAGAAAGGTAAGAGATGAGGGACGGATGGGACGGGAGAAGCGCGCAAAGGTTGGAACTTCATAAAGTGCTTCATTGTTGCCTGCGTTCATTCGTCGTTAAAACGCACCTAACGCCATGCCATGCTGTTGCTGTGAGATGAGATGAGAGTTTTCCGTACCGACCCCTAACGCCACATAATGCTCAAGACGATTTGTTTCCAACTCTTCGTGCAGCACCCTGATCCTCCCTACCCCTCGAGCCTACCCATCATATTCTTCCTAACCTTAGTGTTAACCACCCCTCCCACTCCAAAAGCCGGCACAATCCTACAAATCCTCGCAGCAGCACTCTTCGCCCAATCCCTCAGCACGCGCCCCGCCCTGCCATCCACACCCCCCACCCTGGCCTCAGGCCTGTTGTACAAATCCAACCCGAGTAAATGCAACGGCGTGCTCACAAGCTGCACAGCAGCAGGCGTAACAAACTGCGCAACACTCAGCGCACCAACATATTTCTTGACCTCCGTGCCCATGCGCTCGTCTACTTTAGGCGCAAGAAGCGGTGGCAAGTTGAACGAAGCGAAAATAGTAAGGCAGTCGCGGACGGTGAAGAGCGCGAATGTAGGTAGTGGAACAGGTCTTGGTGAGGACCCTGGCGCAGCGAAGAGTCGCGTGAACTGATTATCTTTATACAGACACAGCGCTAGGTTCGTTGTACTCGTAGCGAGGAACTTGCTCGTCCCGCTCGTTTGCTCTTGTAAACCTTGCGTGGGCTTAACCGTCGCGGACGCCGTGTCGATGCTGTTGGCGGTAAAGTATGTACCGAAGTATAGACTGAAGATGAGGACGAAGGGTTTGCTGCCGAGGAAGCGGTGCGGTTTCGCGAGGAGTTCGATTGCGCTCTTTTTCAGACTCTCGCCGAGACTGTTACGCCCGCTGGCATTTTCGATGATGCCTTTGTCGATCATGGTTATGATGGGTGCGACGAGTATGCCGGCGGAGCCGGCGGAGAGGGCGTCGACGCCGATGCGTAGACCGAGTTTGGATGTGTTCCATTCGTGGGATGTTTCGGTCGAGGTGCTGGGTTTGCGCATCGTGGGGAGCGGTAGGTTGGGTTTGGGGATCGCGATTGACGGTGTTGCGACTTTGGGTACGGTGGTTTGGTCGCTGTGCTCGTTGGCTGTGTGCGGTTTCATACCGCTGGCTTGTTCTTCCCCCATTGCAGCTTCCTCCGGTGACTGATAAACTCTCTCTTTGTGTGCTGCATGGAATGCTTGAAGTTTTGACGGTGCGTTTCTCGCGGGCGCTTCACGCTTTACGACTCTTTCGACAGTTTGGCCGCGGTTTGGACCAGGGCGACAGAGGTGTCGTAAGTGTACAACACAGGACAGGCTGTTGTTGAGGGATTTGATACAAGCCGCTGACGAAGATATCGGAGTTTACCTGAAAGTTCGCCGGCGAACAAACACCGACGTCGGAGCAAGAGCCGCCGAACGGGTATCACGCGCATTGATTGGTGCACGTCATCGGGCCCTGCATCGTTCGTCGCTCACAGCCAGGTTCTCGATGGGTAGCATCGGCTGAGACATGTGGGTGTTTGCTGCATGGCATGAGGAATTAAATGCAGGG